AAGAGATATTAGAATTTCCATTTGTCACCTCACCATTTAAAGAGATCGTTCTTGCCCTGTGAGTAGCCTTGGCACCTCTGTTCAAAATCAGTTTTAATTTCTGGAGTCTTACTGATCAGAGCCTGCCCTTTTCTTTATGGCTTCCTTTGGGGGGGGGGTAACTCCTTTCTGGTTAGCAACTGTCTTAGGAAGTCTTAACAACTAAGTAAAGAATTCCTATCCTTAGAAGTCACTCAGCCTCTTAAGGTATCCTCCTGTTCTCTATATCTCTTAGAGATGGTTATTATGAAATTCAGAATTGTATCAAACCATGGTGCTGTTTGACCAGCAGTTGCTAATCAAGCCCACCATAGCCCTATAGCCCTCCATGGCCCATGTCGGTCATAGTTACCTGTACCATCTCAGAATCTAGTCTTTCCTTACATCATTTGGAGTTATTGAAATACCAGTTTCAGAACTTAACAGAAAAACTTAAGAATACAGAGTAGAATATGTTTTAGGTCTCTTTTTGTCCACATGTCAATTATCAAAAGAAGAGTAAAAAAAGCAAGAAATGGTGATCTAGACAGTACTTTGTATAATTTTAAGGTTTTGCTGAAAAAAAGATCTTCACAATTATTTTTCTGTTTCGGTAATGTTTTTTTTCCTGTAGAAAAACTGTGATGCTTTGGCCTTTCATAAAATGTTACTAGAGCCAGGCATGGTGGCACACACCTGTTATCCCAGCACTAGGGAGGCAGAGGCAGGTGAATCTCTGTGAGTTCAGGCCAGCCTGGTCTGCATAGCGAGTTCCAGGCCAGCTGGGGCTACAGGGAGTCCCTGTCTCAAAACAGACCGAAAAATAAAATGTTACTAGGACTATATAGTGGGTAATAAGTTCCTAACAATTTAAATGACTATCTAATACTCGAATCTTTATGCTTTTTAGAATATATTTTCAGAATTTATCACAATTGAAATGTTATTTCATGGCAAAGCTTTAGAGGTCTTCACTGCTGCCTACCAAAATATACAAAAGATTGATGAGGATGAAGATTTAGAGGTAAGACTAAACTCAGTTCTAATAATATGACAGTGTTGAAGAAAGCACTAGATTGTACAGGTAAAAATAAATCAGTGCTTTAACAAATTTTTATTGTGTGTAACCCAAATAACTGACCTTTTGTGATTTTTTTTTCCATTTATATTTTGTTAATGGATGTCACTTCCAATTCTCAAGCTAAAGTTTCTTAATTTTCCCTCCCTAACCTGTTAATTACAAAATAGTAGCAAATGTTTATGTAGTGATTACTTTGAACAAATATATATTTAACTATGCTAATTAATCCTCCCACCAACTTCAATAAAAAGTTACTATCTTCATTCTAAGGATAAGAAAACTGAAACACAATGAAGAAACCTCCCAAAGTCATGTAGCTAGTTAAGTAGCACAGGAGGGAGTTCAATCTAGCATCTAAGACAATGCTGTTCTCAATGTTTTATTCACAAGACTACAGGTATAGTTCTAGTTCTGGATGAGTGACATGAACTATTTCCTGCGAGAAACAACACTGCATTGAGTAGCAGGTTCATAGATGATCCCCTTTTTCTGTAAAATTGGAGTCCCCTTTATATATATTTTCAGTGTCTTTTCTAAGATCCCCAACATGCCATTTGTGAACTAAGGCTAAAGTTATTTTAAGCTCTTTGGTCCTTAAAATTTTTCCTTATTCCAGAAGCCCTAGATATGTCACACTACTCACTTTATAACTTTTCATTACTTGTAATGAGCTAAGTCATTTGTGAGAGAGAGATCCATGAAAAACTTGTTGTTTCAGGGCTGTGGTAGATGTATTTTTGAGCATTTTCCTGCACTTCCAGTGGTAATACGTAGCAAATTAATTTCATCTTCCTGCTAAAATGGATATACTATTTACCTCATCAGATATTTGATCAACAACTGTTTATTCAGCACCTATTTTGCCAAGCACTAAGTGCTGCAGATTTAGCATCATAGATATAGTCCATATTATCAAAGCAGGAAGTTAAAATCTACCAGAGATTGATTCAATTAAAAATTGTATGCCAGGCATAGTGGTGCATGCCTTTAATCCTAGCCCTGAGAAGGCAGAGGCAGGTGGATCTCTGTGAGATCAAGGCTACCCTGGTCCACATTGTGACTTCCAGACAGGGTAAAACTATGGAGACCCGGTCAAAAAACAAAACAAAAAAACTGTGTAGCCATTTCAGTTTTTAATGCCACCAGTTCCATAAGGTATAACATGTGATAGCGGGTTCCAGTGTATTGAAAAATCAAAAAAGCTTGAGATGAGGAGGATGCCTAGCAAGAACTTCGAAATGGTATATACAAAAGTCCTGAGGCTCTGTGAATGAAGAACAATGCACTTTAAATAGTTAGCATTGTACAGGACACAGGTACTTGCTGAATGAACCATAGCTCTCAACTACTGTTATATCATCTAGCAACTGTGACTGGGAGAGACCAGGGGAAGTAAAATTATATGCTGTAGGTCACACAATATTAGCTAGAGGTTTCTTAGAAACAGGAGAAAAAATATGCAAAGGACATAAAAAGACCTTGCCTTTACTTAGACTTTATGAGAACCAGAGATTTCATTGCTGCAGCAGCTAGCTTTTCTGCAGTTAGTTGTATTACAAATCATCATACTTGTTCTTCACATAAAAAGTATTCAAAGGCCCATTTCCCCTTCAAAAATAATTTCTATGTAAAGATTCACTCCTGGATCTTGGATATTGTAAAATGTGTTGCCAGTACATTCACTGTTCTGTAAATCTGTTGTTTTACCCTAAAAGGGCTTAATAAATATTTTAAGTGGTTTAAGCTTTTATCTCAAGGGTTCTATATCTATTTCCTACTTGTTTTACCTTTGCTAGAAGTTTAAAAAGGGATGTTCAAAAAAAATAGATCCCCTCTGCAAATTAGTCATGCAGCTGTTGTACGTACCTGGATGTCAGAGTTCATGTCTCCTAACATGGAAGTAAAATTTGCTAACCTAATTATTAGCATTCCTGAATTATCCTAAAATACAATTCTTATATCCTAAATTGTATCCCTGGATTCCATTTGTGTCCTGCAGTGGGCTTAAAGGAATCTGGAGGCATCTCTTTGGTTCTTTTTTTCCACAACATGGGGATTATGTCTGGTTACCATTTATTAGGTAAACGTCAATTTAATTAATGCCATTTACTCAGAGGAGTTACAAAGAGAAATGGGGTTTCTTGCACTAAAGAAAGGTAAGACTAGTTGTGGAAACATCTGATGAAAAAGTGTCTTCACAATTAACCATGAGGGTAAGAATAGGAGCTATTGGCTACGCAACAGGGGAAGCAAAAGAGCAAAAGATAGCATTTGACTCGGCTCTTCAAAGATTAGTAAATTTAGAGATCTCAGGCTGAGGAACCAGAATTACAAAGGCACAATACACAGTGGGTTCTCCATACAGGTTAGTACTGTAGACTGAGACTAACCTAGTAAAGAGTAGCCTTAGGCTTTGAAGGTCACCTAAAGCGTTTGACTCTGGTCGTCAAGAGGCACAAATTTTATTTTTTTTAGTTAAGAAATAATATATTTTGGTCTTCAGTAATATAAGGCTAAATAACCTATGAAGAAAGGTATGCAGTCAGTAAGCAGAAGTACCCCAGGTAAAATTTAGGGAGAATGCCCAAGCTTAGAGCTTGACCTACTAGGTAGAACTGAGTCTTTACCTATACTGAAAGCTTGACCTACTAGGTAGAACTGAGTCTTTGAAAGCAGCTATTGGTAAATATGGCTATGTAAGCTTATTATTAAATATAAGTAAAAAATCAGTTCCTCATCCACATGAACCATATATTCTATGTGTTAACCACATGTAGCTAGGGGCTTTTTGGACACTTCCTTCATCTCAGAACATGTTAATGAATAGTATTAGAACGGAAAGTAATTGGGAATATGAACGTGGCTATCCAAACACATATGAAGTATACAGAGAATTGGTTGGTTGACAGCCATTAAACACTGCAGATGTAGGGCTGGGTATGGTGGTGCATACCTTTGATCCCAGCACTCTGGCAGTCAGAGGCAGGCAGATCTCTTGAGTTCCAGGCCAATCAGGGCTATATACTGAGACCGGTCTCAGGGTGGTTCAGTACAAAGTCAGAGAAGATAGAGACCATCAAGATAAAGATCTGACAAGTGAGTTGTGGAATGAGGAAGCCCAATTCTACTTTGTTGGAAAAAATGGAGAATTAAAATAACTGAGTTTTTGAAAAGTTACACCTTGAAGTAATAAAAAACAAAAGTAGAAAGACTGAGCAATCTGGGCATGGTGGTACACACCTTTGATCCCAGCATTCAGGAGGCAGAAGCAGGTTGATCTGAGATGGAGGCCAGCCTGGGCTGGGACTAGGGAGACCCTGTCAAATAAAAAAATTAAAAGAAAAAAAAAGGACTGAGCAAGCAAGCACACACTTGTTTTCTAGAAGAAAACTTTGGAAACCAAAAGCTTTGTATATTTAAAGTTTTGGATTAAGGGAAAATACACATTGATAAAGATTAGAATGCTGTTTAAAAACAAAACAAAAGATGGAGTAAAGAGTAAGAGGGGAAAACTGAAATTCCCACCTGATCTTGACTCTTCATCTGTTAGAAAAATGGGGTGTTGGGGAGGAGGGGATAGGAAAGCTTGAGAAAGTGATGACATTTCAGAGTACTGACAAGTCATGGCAGTCCAGATCCTAATGAGGTTGGAATTCCTTGTGAGCAGGGCTCCAAGTGTACTGATTTTTCCATAGTAGTCCTGTATATACCTCTTATCAAGTTGCATGGTTCAAATACAATTATTTTAGTCTTCACTTTTCCAGTTTAGACTGTTTTTCCACTTGCATTTACAATAACTCAAATCTTTGTCCATGGTGAATGTTTTGGAAAATCTTAAGAACAGAACATCTATCTATATATTCATTAGTATCTGCTTTATAATGTTGCTTTATCATTGCGATAGGTTTTCCGAAATTCTCTGTATCTACCAGATTATCCATCTCGTTTAGATATTGTAAGAGCAAATTCAAAGTCACCTCTTCAGAGATCACTGTCTGCTAAGTGCACAACTGGAACAGGACAGGTGAGCTGAAAACTGATTTAATGGAATCTGAGCTGCTGCGAAAGCAGCTCAGATTCTATTAAATTAATAAAAGTTGTTTCCCTTGTTATTTGATTTTGTAACTCTGGGCCTAGTGTTTCTTATATAACTATAATGAATGAGGCAGCACACTGGAGAACAGAAATAGAAAAGACAATGCTGATGTAGATATTGTCTGATATAATATGAAGGGCATAGATTCTGAAGTCAAACAGAAATCTTGGCCAATCTGTACAGAAATCATACCTAAAAGTGGTTATTTGCTAAAAGCTCATGGATCCAGAGCCACAGCTCTTTAGATATCTAAACAGCCCAAACCATAAGATAACCATAATGTGACAAAATCTGATGTAGAGGGCTATAAATTTTCATATGTGGCTTAAGAATTTAAAATCAAAAACATTTTCAAAATATAACTTTAAAATCTTGACTTAAACCTCCTTTCATGTGATTGTAAGCATGGGGCATAGAGAATGTCTGTGCACTGTTAAAGATGTTGAAGAGTGTCAGCAGCACAAACACATACACAATGTGACAAACCCCTGTATCTCCAAACATTGCTAAGGGTCCCCTGGGAGGTATAATCATCCTCAGAGATAATTTTAAGCAAGATACTCCAAGGGTAGTGTCAAGATGTACAGCTGATGAATTTGTTCTCAACTCATTACATTTTTAAAAATCATACTTTTGTCATTATTGTCTAATTAAAGTATCTTTTGTTTTTGCCATTTACTTGATTCTCATTCCAATACTGTTTTAGTAACCCAAGAACTGTTTAACAGTCACAATACACTGAGGTAGCATGTTACTGAAGCATACTAATGGCTAAGTGCAATCAAATGGTTAACCTCATATATACTGAAAAAGGAAGACTTCGACCTTAAAATATGATTCATAGAAAATTTTCATTATTAAAATTTATTCCTTAGCTGGGCGTGGTGGCGCACGCCTTTAATCCTAGCACTCGGGAGGCAGAGGCAGGCAGATCCCTGTGAGTTCAAGGCCAGCCTGGTCTACATAGTGAGTTCAAGACAGCTGGGGCTACAGGGAGACCCTGTCTCAAAAAGACCAAAAAAAGAAAAAAAAAATTTTTCCTTGTAGCCATTTTCTGAAATATTTGTTATGTATGCCCTGCCCTATAAGTAAAAAGATAACAAACATATATATTTTAAGTTTGTATTTTTTATTTTTTTGTGTTAATTTTTAACAGATATCCACCTGTCGATTAAGAAAGGATCAACAAGCAGAAGATGATGATGATGAAGAATTAGATGTTACAGAAGATGAAAACTAATTTTAAGAACATTTCCATATTCGTCTTAAATGATTTAAAATCTGGGATTACTGAATTGTAAAACTTTATACTTACTTGATAGGTTAAACTTCAAGATGAAATCCTATTAAGAAATGAAAAATTAAAAATGTATGCTGACAAAAAGTGAAGGTTCTTAAAAAATATTACATACCAGTCATTTTAATATCCAACCTATAGTAGTATGTGACTTTTTTGTAGAAGTTCTGTTTTTAAAAAAAAGATTATGTATTTCAAAGCATTTCAGATTAATGACAATACTTAGTTGAAGGTGCAGCAGTAAGTGGGTGATAAAAGACTTAATTCTTCTAATTAGCTTCTTGTAGGTTAAGGCTCCAGATTTTCAACACCAGGAAATCTAGTTACATACAAATTCTACTCCATGATGCCTTAAGTAAAAAGCATTTTTATTTGTATTAAAACCTTATGTTTCATCACTTGATATGTAGATTTACTGTTTTCAACAAGAATGTAATTTAAATAAAGGTAACACTGATATAAGGCTTTACAAATGTTTTAAGTTTCAGATTTTAAAAGGCCACATTCACCCTTTACTGCTGTCACACTAAAGCATTATATATATATTACTAATACTTAGAAGGCAAGTATTCTATTGGAATGTTGCCTCATCATTTGGAACACCGTAAAGCATTAAACATTCCATACTATTCTGCCAGGCTACCACAGTTATTAAACATGTACTTTATTGCTAAAATTACAAAACAATTTAGTCAGAGCCTTTCTGTGTATCTGACACTTCTGTTTCTTTTGGCAAAGAATTATGCTTTTGTTATTTTTATGAATCTCAATGAGATGTATAAAAATTGGGAATTTTAAATCATTTGGTAGGATTGGAAAAAGCAGTTATTCACAACAGAAAAATAAAAGACTTTCTAGAATGCTCTTTGACTTTTTCTTTT